AGCTGATTACTAGGCGGATAGTGTGGTCAGAAAATTACTCCCACAAAATTATTTTTAAAATTTAAACTCTTTTGAGGTCATCCACAGGACAACCACTCAATCATCCTAGGACGACCACCTTGCATGCTTTAATTGGAGACAAAAGAAAAGAAAAAAAAGAAGAAAGAAAATGTATCAAGGGGTCTTCCTGTCAAATTTGACAAGGGGGGTGATTCCAAAAGTTACATCAACTTTTGATACATTAGGTAGAGTTAATACTTGATGTTAAAATATGATTATTAAAGTGTCATATTAAATTTAAAGTTTTGGGTGAAGGTGCTTTTATTTTTTATAATTTCTCTCAAATTATATCAAAACTCCATGGGTGCTATTGGTTAGATGTTACTATTCACTTCTTATTTTTACTTTTATTTTGTAAAAATCACAAACACTCAAGTTTGACATGTCTTGAAAAAGGCAAAAAATCAAAAAGTTATCACTATTCATCAAAAAATATATTAAAAAATTAATTTAACACATAAATAATTTAACACATAATTACATTTCAGACAGCTTTGCGGTCCAACAGGCGGAGGTGACTTTTGGGAAAAATTGCACGGTTCTAGGTGCACAAATAACACGGTGATGTTCGGCTCAAAGGGCCCATCACAGGTCTCGTTTTAATAATCTGAACCGTTCAATGTGCAGAATTCGTCGAGTACTATGTATTTATAAAAAATCACGTTGATTGGATATCAGTAAATATATGATCAAATCAGTTAAAATTTATAAAATGGATGATGTTATAGTTGACGGTTGAAAAAAAACTAATTTGATCAGATAACTATCGATATCCGATTAACATGATTTTTTACAAGCATATAGTACTCGACGAGTTTTACACATTGAACTGTTTTGATTAGCAAAATGGGACCCGTGGTAGGCCCCACGGGCTGAACAACACCTTCAATTCAATGTCCGCAAAGCAGAGAATCATATCCCAGGTACAATCTGCACATGCTATCCTCAATTGTCTTACCGTACCGCCTATTTCCTCACAATCTTCTCCTATACATTAATTTATATAATTTTTTAATACACATTTTTTATAAAATGTCAAAAAATTATCCCAAATAATCATATTTTTTTCCTCAACTTTTTAGTTTAAAAAATCAAAAAGTGCACTTATTTAGGACACCCTAAACAAGTCCGGGTTATTTTAGGACGTTGATTAAAAGTTAATTTTTTATTTTTTATTTTTAAAAAACGTATAAAAAAATAGAGAGATGATATGATTCAAAATAAATTAAAATGAAATTTTCAAATTAAGCTTAAATAAAATATACACCCCTAACATTTCTGATATGTCACAGAGAACTCTGGACATGTGGAAGTCATATTAGTTGAACCTTTATTGGCTATCACTGTTAATCTATTTTTAATGAATATATTTTTAGAATGGAAAATGCTTTGTAGCACTAAAAAAAAGTCCCCCTAATCCCCCTAATTTCCTTTTTGAGAAACTGTTTTTTTTTTTTTTTTTTTTTTTTTTTTTTTTTTTTTTTTTTACTAAAAACGGAAATTGTGGGGATTCGGGGGACCTCCATTCGGGGGACCAAGCACTACCCGTTTTAGAATAATGCTTGGGACCCTCTTTTGGGGGTCACCCCCTCACCCCCCTTTGCCACGTGGCAGGGGGTGATTGGAGGAACAGGAAAAAAAAGAAAAAGAAAAAGAAAAGGTAATCAATGAGAGAGAGAGGGGGTCAAAGTGGATGGGGGGAAAAGAGGGGATGAATCATTACTCATATTTTTAATGAAAATACAAATTTACAGTTCGCTCTAAATCACAAATACCTGTAACATCAACAAAAACAAAAACAATGATGAGGTTTGGAATCCAACAAGTAAATGTAAGAGCATCTTCAGCAGTCTCTTCATTTCACTAAAATTTCTACAGTAGTAACTTACAGGCTTAAATTTTTTCTCCAGCAGCGTAGCTAATGTGAATCCAAACTAATATTTTGTTACAGTATCTTGCTAGGAAAGACGTGGTATTGTGCACTATCTTTAATTTTTCTTTTTATCATTTTTTAATTGAAACTTTTGTTTCTAAAAATATTTTAATAGAAGATTTCTAAAGTATAAGAACATTTTAATAGAAAATAGCTAAAGGAGATAGTCTTGTTGGAGTATATATTAAAAAAAAGATATATTACAAACACATTACTTGAGATTTACTTACCTTATAAATTACCTCCTGTGGTTCTAATTTTATAACAAATAGATCATTTTATTAATAAATCATCAAGTTAATTAGCAATTTTTAATAATGTTAAAATTTCATTTCAATTAATAATTCAGATAATTTCATTATTATATAGGTGAACGGTTAGAAATTTTCTTTTTATCAATTAATTTTGTTAAATAAAAAATTATGACAGAAAGGTAAATAATTTTCCAAATCACAAGAGGTAATTCGTATTTTAAGTAAACCTCAGGGGGTGTATTTATAATTTACTCTTAAAAAAATGACTAATTAAAATAGTAAAGTAATATTTTGAATAATTATTTTGACTATCCTTGCTGCAGATGTTCTTAGGAGGTGTCCTTGTAGTTTGGTTAAATGTCAAAGGGTGTCCACACTATACTTTATTTTTGAAATTTGTTTGGGTAAAATTAAAATAAAACATAGGATTTTGAACTCGTTTAAGATAAATTATAAAATAAAAAAAGAATTTAGGTGTTCTAATTAAAAGTTAATGGGACCAAAAACTAGAGAATTCTAATATACACACGCATTCCTTGCCTTATACATTTCTAGTTTCGTCATTTTTTTTTTAAACTATGATCATTTTCCTTCTTTAGTTATGACTTTTTTTAATTTTTTTTTTTAATTAAGACTCAAAAAATATAAAATAGCTATAATCAACACAGAGTGCTTATTAGTAAGGACCTGGGTGATTAGCAAGTCAAGGAAAGCCTTTTATTTTTATTTTTTTTAAAGCTATGTTTGAATTTTATATTTGAAGAGGAATTTTTTTACTAAATTTTTTAGACTACTTATCACGTAATATCTACTAAATTTTTTAGATTTAATACTTATATTAGGTAGGGTTTGACAATTATTTTTTGCTTTTTGGAAATACAAAAAAATTAATGCATATAATATTTTCTTAAAAAAAAAAAACCTTTTGTAATATATTTACTTCTTTAGTGAAAAAACAGCTTTTAAAGAGCTGGTCAAATAGCGCAAAAAAGCTGGTCAAATATGAGTTTCTAAACTTGTTACTTACGTGAGGTTATTCACTTATATCTTCTAATGAATTGATGTGAACACTTTTATCAGGTACCATCGAGACTTTGACCATTCAAATTTAATTCAAATTTTACGTAGCATCCTTAACAAAGTTTGGCGATAAGGACATAATATTATTATAAAGGAAAAATTATATTGACCCTCTATGAGATTTATGTTTATTATAATTTTTTTTTTTTTTTAGAAATTACATCTTTCTTCTTGAGGTTTAAAATTTTATTACAGATTGCCCTCTGAAGTTTAAAGTTTCATAACAGTTCCCCTTTCACCGTAATGATCATCATACATAAAATTAAATTAACAGGGGGTCAGTGTAATTTCTCAAATGTGAGGGGGTGAACTGTAATAAATATAAATCTCAGGAGATGTCAGTGTAATTTACCCTATTATAAAACAAAAATGAGATTTTTAGTTTTAAATTTTTTGATATTAAAATTTTATAAAATAAAAGACATATAATATTTTTATAGTAATTAATTTCACTTAATATTTTTAAAGAGAAAATTCGACTTAAAGAAATTTCATTCGAATCAGATAAATTTTGGCCTCGATACAATTTTTTTTTAATTTTCACAGAGAAATTTATCTAATTTCATAAAGACATTTTGAAATTTCTCTAATATGATCATAAAAAATTTTTCATCAAGGGACTTTAACTAATAATTTTTTTTTAATTTTTCTTATTACACAAAGTTAGAGAGAGATAATTCGCTAATTTTTTCTAAAATGTATACAACCAAATATTTGTATAAAAATATTTAGATTTTTCACTATTTTCATTCATTTTGCTATACACTTCTATTCTTTAATGAATTTATGTCAACACTTACATTATACAACAAAGGCTTTGACCATTCAAATTAATTTTAAGGGCAAATTACAAACACTCCTTCGAATTTTAGTGAAAATATAGATTCTCTCTTGAGTTTTGAGAAATTACATCCCGCCTTCTGAGGTTTATATTTTCATAACAAATTGTCCCCTGAGATTTTTATTTTCATACAGATTCCCTCCTCATTTGTTATGCAAATTTGGCCTTCAGGGGGCGGGTTGTAATTTCTCAAACCTCAGGAAAAAATCTGTGTTTTCACCAAACTTTGAGGGGAGTGTTTGTAATTTGTCCTAATTTTAAAGAATTAGATATGCATGTACTATATATGCAAAATATTAAATTTAAGAAGACAGAACATTATTACAAAATGAGACTCATTAAATATTTTATTCATTCTCTATTTTGTTTTTTTGTATTCATGTGTTTTTGTGAAGTTGGTAAAAAGTTAATTTTTTGATTTTTTTAACTTATTTTGTTTTTTTATAAGTAAGTTATATGAGAGGTGATGTAATTCAAAATGAATAAAAAAAAGTTAGAACTTAATTTTTTCAAAAATGATTTAGACCTTTAAAAGAAGAGCTCTAATAGAGCACTAATTTGTCTTTTTCTTCCCTCTTTTTTGTCTTTTACTTCACTGTTTATTTTATTTATTTTTTATTGGTTGACAGCTCATTAGAACTGTCCTTTTGCAGCTCTAATTAGAGCTCCGGAGCATGACCCTAATTTTTTACCGGCTTTCCAAAAACTCCAATCATAAATCAGAGAAAAAAAATACAAATAAAAAGAAAGAAACCACTTTTCAGTAGATAAAGGATCTGTGGCATCTAAAGAGCACAATTTTTTGGCATTTTATACATTAGATAGATTGATTCCAACGCGAATTTTCCCGGAAAGAAAAGAAAAGAAAAAAAAAAGGAAAAGGAAAATGAGAGGCAAAAAAAGAAAAATCTTCCTACATTTCCGAGCCGTCTCTCCTTGTGCTGGGGATTTCTTCAATTTTTAAACCCACCGAAAACTCAAACTATTCTTCACTTTCCGAACTCTCCCATTTTGCCTTTCCTTGCTTTGCCTTGCCTTGACTTCAATCTCTCTCTCTCTCTCTGGGCCTTGCGAAAAGGGTTCAATAGATAGATATAGATGGAGATCGATAAAGCAATCAGAGAAAGCGATGATCGAAGGCTGAAAACGAAGTACAACAACGCCATTTATGTCATTCAACGAGCTCTCGCTCTGTACTCGTGAGTTCAACACTTTTTTTTTATTTATTTTATTTATTTTTAGTTTTTACAATTCACAAGTTTTCGCAGTATTGATTGTGTGAAATGCTGAATTGGGTTTTTAGTCATGTGGGTCTTAAGGGTTTTAGAAGTTATATTATTTGATGATTGTTTTTTTCCTTTTCCTTTTATGTGTTTTTGAGCTTAAGTGAAAATCAATGCATTTCTCAGTTTTAAATTTTAGGTCTGTGAATCTTGCAGGGGTGAAGGGTTTGTTCGAGTTTTGGGTGTCTTTCTGTTGCATTTTTATCACGTTTGAAGATTTATCTCGAGGGTTTATTTTATTTCCTGGTTATTTTTTCAGAAATCAATGCACACATTTCCATAATTTGGCAGTTATATCATGTAAACATTCTGTCAAATATGTGAATCTTTTATCGGCCACGTGTACATTTTGATTAAGATTTCACTGTGAGGGGTTTTTATTGTTTATAATCAATGAACAAATTAATGATGAAGTAAAATTACTCTCTCAATCCATTTCCACATCGGCTTATGTTAGTTGGGAAGGATAGAGATCAATAGATTTTGGATGTAGGGAACAGTTACAAATACTCAACGCCCGACAAATTTCTAATCTTGGATGCCATTCCAATGAGGTTGTTAAAATTGCCTTATCTTGGAGTCAAATCAAATCTATTTTCCCTTGCTTCAGTGTCACAGATAATAGTTGCTTATTTGGGAATTGAGCCAAATACATGTCCTCTTGTGCTGCAAATGGTTGCAAATGCCAATAAAAGGTTAGCTTATTCTTGAGTCCTGATCTGCTTGGGGCATTACTTGTCGCAATGGTAAAAGCTCGGGTTGTCAAGTTTCAGAATGTGGGTTCAAGTCTAAGAGCAACTGCATTGCACATGTAATGCCAAAGATTAGGTTTGTTTCCAGTCTTACTCCTGTCGTCACCCTTGATAATGGAAACCAACACCGGGCAATGCCTTTTATTTTCCTGAACAAGTCTCATAATATTTGCAAAATAACCTTCTATTCATTTTTTTTTTATATGACCAGCTTAGTACAATCCACAAAGGCACAAACCATCACTGTATCTATCAAAGTAAATTACCTGAATGGTTTTAGGTGAGGATTTTGGATTTGTGTATAACGATTATTTTATGTCTTTCGGCCCCTCACTCTTTTGTTACGGAAAGTAGGAAACTAAACTCATTGATCCCTGACCAGAAAAAAACCTCATTTGTTGGTATTTAGTACATAATTAGATGGTGTTGAATGCGGCCTGAAAGTGTGAAAAAGGTGGGTTGAGTTTAAGAGCTGCTGCTTCATGCAAATAAGGTCAGATTTTAGGTCCGTATTTTGTCTCTCCTCCCCACCTAGAATCTTCTTATTCTTTTTTTAATGATAACTGATTTTGTTTGATAATTAGGTATATCATTTAACGGTAGGTCATGCTATTTTAACATTGGTTTAATCCAATTAGTTTGGTGGGCTACGCTGGATGACTAGATTGGTTTAATCCAATTAGTTTTTGTGTTGTTGATGTGAACAATCATTATGATGAGGTTTCCTTTTAAATGATGTTCTTTGGGACCAGATATAAAAGTTTTAAGTTAATGATGCATATTACTTGGACATTTTTCTCTTTGAACTGATATTGTGCATCTATTTCCTAATTCATTTTTAGTTGGTTTTTTATTAGTAAATTGAACAGAGAGTAATTCACTAATACAAAATATTGTCTACTTGGAAAGAAAGAGGAAATAGAGAAATAATTTTGGGTAAATTACACTTTAACCCCCTGTGGTTTGCCCCAAAAACACGGAGCCTCCCTGTAATTTCATTTGTAACACTTAAACCCCTAAACTTAATACTAAACTGTAATTTTGGACGGACTTAACTGAAGTAATAAAAAGTCATAAATGCCCTTAGATATTTTCCACTCAGTCATTTTATTTGTATCACTTCGTATCTCTATCTCCATCTCTCTCTCTCTCTCTCTCTCTCTCTCTCTCTCCATGCTTACAGCTTCGCTACCACCCTCATCCCCATCTCACAACATCATCACCGGTGACGGCTGGTCAAACACAGCAAATTGAAGCTTCTAAAATCGACTTGGAGGATGGAGTACCAGTCGTGGTGATTGTTGATCCGTTTCTGGGCAGCGAGGAGGACTTCAGCTACGGCCAAGATCTGATCGGGACCTTCTAATAAGGGCTCGGTTTCTTGAGCTAAGATCGCGAAGTCTCGAGAGCCGTTGAAATCTTGGCCTTGCAAGAGTTTCTCGACGATTCCGAGTAATCGTTCTGCTTTAGCTCTCCTAGGATGACCTTCCATTTTTTGTCGATTTTGATTTGGATTTGGATTTGGGTGTGATTGGGAACTGAGAAAATGAGGGGAGGGAGGGTTTTCTGATGTGTTCACTGTGAAAATGGGGGTGAAAGTGGTGAACTATAACACACACACACACACACAATTGTATGTCTAACAGCACAGAATACACTAATGACACACCACTGTGAGGCATTCACCTGCTGTACATGTGGGATAGTTATTTGGTGCTTCTCTGGCAAGTTCACGTGGAGAGAAAATCTTGAGAGAGAGACTCTTTGCAACATGAGCTACACATCGTAAGCTTAACCAGTCAAGAAACCAGACTGGACTAAGCTCAAACACAACCACCACCATGCGCGTTGAGACCACCAACACCAACGGCAAGTCTTTGCAACATGAACTTTCAGCACTCACCACTGGTTTTTTTTTTAACCCTCGTCCTCACTTTTTTTTTTTTTTTCCCTTTTTATGAAAGTAGCCATGGCTGTCCTAGTTTAAGCAGCCACCTACATACAACACCTTAAACCAAAAAAATATGAAGTTGTGAGGTAAAAACTATTTCAAGTTCCAACTATTCTTTGCATTATAATTTGCAACTTTTATTTAACAATTCAAAAAAATAATTTGACAAATTTATTATTAGCTTTTGAAGATTTATTTGGAGATTTGCTTTTGAAGATTTTCTTTTGAAGGTGTGTGTATATATATTAGTTGTAGTGCTGCTGAATGGGAATGGTGTGGCAGTGCTGTGGGTATCGCCTTGGTTTGTTGGATGAAGCGAGTGATAAGGAAAGGAAAATGAGAAGGAGATGGAGGGTGGATGGTGGTGTGGAATTGCAGGCTAGTTTTGCTATGCGGTGAGGAAGAAATCCTGAGATAATCTGGGCAATTTCAGAGGCCTCAATGTGTTTGTTGCATATTTATATAATGAGGGGAGAGAGAAAGGGTGTTTTGGTCCAAAAGTGTAATGTTTTTGGTAGGAGAGAGTGCTACTTACACTTTTATGCTCGTGAATCTCACGCTCTGGTTAAATAAACGGATCTGTCAAAAATTACAATTTGGTATTTAGTTTAGGGGTTTAAGTGTTACAAATGAAACTACAGGAACGCTCCATGTTTTTGGGGCAAACCACAAGGGGTTAAAGTGTAATTTACCCAATAATTTTATATAGAATGTTATTCAGGGAAATATGATTTGAAATACTACTACTTCCGAAAATGTACTCTTCTTATTGCTTTGAAGTCATAAAATCATGGTGCATCTTACAGTTCCAATTTTCGGTCTGAAATAATTTGAGAATTGACATGTTGAAATTTTTTTGAAGCAAAATGAGGTTGTTGAGTTAACATGAGTAGCATCTCTAGAAATGGTAAAAATAAAAACTGTTGTGGCCTATGGGTGGATAGAGGTGGTACTTATTGAAGATAATACAAGGGAAAGTCATTGGAGATGGTTTTCCTTTCGCATCTCTGATCAATTAATGCTTTTGATATGGAGGAGTGACTAAATCCAAGTTGAAGGTGCCAAAATGACAAGGGGACTTGTTGAGTTGAGTTAAGTTTGCAATTTAATCCTAGTTTTGAGTTGAGTTGACCTAGCAATAGAATCATTGTTTTGTGTAATAATGTGCGCCGTATTTGCTTTGGATCATGCTGTTAGCGTATCACATAAATGAAGAAGCGAAATGCACTTAATAGTTGTTCTATCTTTTTGTGATTGTTCTTCTGTGCATATTAGCATGTAACATCAATATGGAAACGATCAATTAATTCTTATATAATCTTGTAGTTGTGCAATGAGCCAATTGATAATAGTTTTTCTTGTTCTTATCCATCTGTGGTCATGTAAGTCTGTGGGTACTGAAATTGTTTGCCTGAACAGAATTGAAGAGGTTGCCTTTAGCTTCAATGGAGGAAAGGATTCAACTGTAAGCTCTCATATGTGCTTGTCATTGCTAACCTCTCAATATCTGTTTTTCATTGGTTTGACTTTGTCTTCAATTATTTTTCATTGGTGTTTCTAGGTTTTGCTACATCTGCTGCGAGCTGGTTATTTTTTGCATCAAGTGGAACAAAGTGATTCGAATGGGGATCTCACTGATTGTGATTTCACATTTCCAATACGAACCATATATTTTGAGAGCTCTTCTGCATTTCCGGAAATCAACTCGTTCACTTATGAAACAGCCTCTACGTAAGAAAAGTTATTTTCTTTTTCTTAACTTTCTTTTATTTTTTGGTTTTTTTTTTTAAATTTATATTTTTGTGAGTTTCTTCTTTAACCTTGTTTCATTATGTGATCATGAGAATGCTTTGTGTTCTAGATGTAATTCTATTTTGAAGCATTTGGTTGTTGATGAAAACTATTTCTCATTGAGCAGTTATGGCGTGCTACTGGATATCATTCGCCTAGATTTCAAGTCTGGTCTTGAGGCTCTCCTAAAGGCTAATCCTATCAGAGCTATTTTTCTTGGCGTTCGCATTGGCGATCCTACTGCGGTATATTAATGCATTTTCAAATCTCTTGGCTCACTAAATTGTTCAATATTTTCATAAAATACCTTTAGAGGCTTGAAAGTGAGAAGATGTTAGCATTTATATCTGATCATTTTCTTACAGGTAGGCCAAGAACAATTCTCCCCTAGTTCCTCTGGATGGCCGCCTTTCATGAGAGTGAATCCAATCTTAGATTGGTCATACAGGTCTCTTCATGTACTATAAGCTTTACATACACATATTGATGCGCAAAGATAGCTAAGTTTTTTATTTGTATTTTTCCCCGGAAAACAGTGATGACTGTTTGGTAGCAAAGTTATTCATTTAGTCATTTGTTACTTAGAAAGAATAGACAATAAAAAAGGAAATAAAAAAAAAGGTTATGGTTATAACTAATCGTCAAGTTTTGGTAAGTGCTGGTTTTAGAAAACCAAGACCAAAAATTTAATTCTTGTTTAGTGTGCCAATAAGTGCTGTACGTTAATAGAGAGGCTTTAAAGTTGGGAAAATTAATAACAAAGTCATGCTTTTAATACAATAAAAAAAACTGGTATGCAGGTAAAGGCCAGCATTGCCATCAAGGGTGAATTTGGATTTTGTTTTTATGTGATCCCTGCAAATATGCAACAGTACAATTTCTTTTTCTTTATTTTTTCCCTCTTGGAGATAAAAAAATGGATAATACTAAAAAGGAAAAATAATGTTTATGTAAGGCCAAGAATCTGGAAACCTGTGACTCGTATACATTGTAGCTCAACTCAGGAAAAAGAAAAAAGCTTGTTTACTGTCTTTCACTTTTCAAAGAAATATTGGGCGTGTCACTGCCAGATGTTCAGCTTTTGGTGGCTGTTATGGAATTATACATAGGGCTTCTTGTATCCTTGGCCAACTTGGATAACTTATTCTACAATTCAAGATGTATAATTTGCAGTCACTTTATCTCCTTCTATTAGCAGTTCCACTGGATTCTTGTCTTTTTCTTGTTGGTTTTCCTCTATTGCTTGAGGATTTTTTTTGCCTGAGTAATCATGTTGGGGTTCTTTCAAGTAGTGAGTAAAGTTACTCTTAGCTTTCAATTCTCCTGATATTTGGGTACTCCTTGGGTTTTGCCTTTTATTCGATGTTTCCAAACTGGACCGGCCAGTACGCCTGGTTGGCCAGTCTAGGTTCTAGTCCGGATACACTTTGAACTCATTCTCATTTGAAAACTGCCTTCTAAAAAAAAAATTAAACTTAAACTGGTGAAATCCATGGTTGAACTGGCTGACTGGACGAACTGACACCTGTTGAAGAGAAACGGCCCAACTTGACAGTTTTCCAACATGCCTGTCCAGGTGTTGAAAAAATCTGCCACAAGGGATCGAACACAGCACCTCTTGCTTGAAAGACCTGCTTCATTCCACTAGACCATCATGACTCGTTAACAATGTGTAGTGGATATATATTATGTATTGTATTCAATGCAATTTATCTCAAAAACTAGTATAATTAACATTTTTGCAAACAACATCAATATAATTTTTTTCATGAATGTATCTTAACATTTATTTATTTAAAGTATAATTTTTTATATATTTATTAAGTAATTATGACATCACAGTTCAATTATGTTGACCTGATGGTTGAACTAGTGACCCGTGACCTGGTTACTTTTCCGGTTTGGCCAATGGTCTGGGTTTCCGAACATTGCTTTTATTGGCACATAATAAGAATTTAATGAATTGGAACAGCTGCTAATTTGCTACTATAATTGCATTGGGCTGTGCAAGCAGCGACAGGCACTGCAGTGTTGTTTGGGACCTTTATTTAGTTTTTAGTGATTAGTTGTTTCATCTATATATGCATAAATGCACTGCTTGTAGAGTTTGAAGATGCTATTTGTTCCACTTTGTTTTTACTTTTGGTAAATATGGTGGACTAACTTCCTCGTGTTAATTTGACAGAGATGTATGGGCATTTCTTTTGACTTGCAAGGTTCGATATTGCAGTCTGTACGATCAAGGGTAATTATTCTTTTCGATGGCTTGGAAAATTCTTCTACATGATTGTTCAATTTTTGTTGATGTACGATATGCTTTTTAGTTGTGCTTGTTTGATCTGTGGTGTAAATATGTATTTCACATATTTCTTTTTGAAGTCAAACTGGTTTCTGCTTATCATATTAAAATTTTGGTTTTGTAATTTTTTTGTTGTGTTCACAGTTATACTTCAATTGGGAGCATACATGATACAGTTCCAAATGCCTTATTGTGCATAAAAAATTCTGACAGCAGCAAAGAAAAATTTAGAGCTGCGTATATGCTTCCAGATGGAAGACTAGAAAGAGCAGGGAGAGCAAAGAAATATTCGACTCCAGTTTGTGGACGTTTTCTTGCTGTTGGCAATGGCTTGAAAAGTGTGGACATGAATGAAAATGGCATCCTCACAGCCTCGGTCATTGCTGTGGGAGATGAGCTTCTGTAAGTTCCTCGTTATTGCATAATTTATTTGGAATAGTCTCTACACTAGTTTACCTATCTTGAGTCACTTGTTGTGTAGTCCATAATACCATTTTTTATGTGCTCTTTTCACTTGTAGGGAATGTGATTCTGTATGTCTCTTGTTTGTTCAATTGTTTTAACAGAAACAGTCTTCACGTTGCTTTACCTTTTATAAGCCGCTTCTTCTGTTGTAATGAATAGCATTGGAATTCTATCATTAAACTTCAAGCTTTGTTTGGATACTCACTGATTCCATCATTGGACTTCAAGCTTCAAAAAAACTATTTCACTCCTATGATTCTTGTCAATTGTCTTTTGTTCTTTGTTGATCTCTATGTGGTTTTGGGCACTTTCTTAATAACATTTGTATTGCATTTTTTGAGTTTTCTGAAAGAACGTATATTTAACAATGAGTTCATATTTATGAGCTAATGTTCCACTGATTTAATGTTCCTTGCTAATCCCGGTGTTTCCATTTTAGGTTTCTGTTCAAATCAATGTGTATTAGCCGTCAAACTTATCTGTTTGGGTTTTGATGCTTTTCTTTTTGCAGTAGAATATATGCTGTTCACCTATTTGACAATGACATAGATGTGGATATGGGTTTCTGACGTATATAGAAATGTTTCACATGTGAGTTGGACATAGATATATACGAAGTTCGAGACATTATCAGATGGTTTTCAAATTTCAGCACATTCGGGCCTTACAATAGCCTTTGTTTTTCAGAGTACATTAATTTCTTTGGGAGAGATAGTTGTTCAAACTTCAATGAATTGCATCATTCATTGTGATTAATATGTTTATATATGTATATATATTCTGCATTAATTTTTGTTGTAGTATCTTATATTTTCCTATCGGTTCCATAGCTCAGGTTTGGCACCATTGAGGACCAACTGGGACCTTCCTTGTGTAGAAAGCTTTGTTCTATAGGTTGGGCAGTATCACAAATTGCTGTGGTCCGAAATGATGTAAGTTATTATGAAATAATGTTTGTCTACGTAAGAGCACTTACTAGTATGTCTCATTCTCTCCTCCTCCTCCTCCTCCTCTCTCAAGTAAATCAGGATCTCATCAGATATTGTGTCATCATAGAGTTTTGGATGCTTTTGTGCATGAAAAGCATGAGGAAATATGTAAATAATTGATGAATTACCTTAGAGGCATGGTTGCCTTGCTTCCCCCCCAAATCCTGCTTAATCATAACACACATTTTATTTTCTTAAAAGATGCACCCTGAGTAACTCTTAAATTTTCATTTACTGACTTCTCATTTTTGAATTCCATTCCTAATGAAATTCTTTCCAAATCCAGATAGATTCTGTAGCTGATGAAGTTGAACGGCAGAAGTCTGCAAATGATCTGGTAAACTTATCAGTTTGCTTTAGAGCTCTTTCATCTTTATTGGAAAAATGAAAAGCAAAAGAGAAAAATGAATAAACACTTTTGCTGATATTCTTTGTCATCAAAATAAATTATTGGAATTTGGGTGTCTATTGTCTGATTCTTTTGTGGATCTAACTTGAGCTGGTCATTGCAGGTTTTCATATATGGAGGGGTTGGCCCATTGCATTCAGATGTTACTGTTTCAGGCGTTGCAAAGGCATTTGGGGTTCGTATGGTACGTCTTGTGTGTGTGGGGGCGTGTGTGCGTATATAGAAGAAACCATTACTTGTGAAGATCAGTCTGGACTCTGGAATTTAGCTGCATTTGAAACTTCTAGCGAATACTCGTTATCATACAATGAAGAGTTTCATGCTCTGCTATTTGGGTAGGGATTTGGAAAGGTAAAAGATTGGTGAAATGTGAAAGGGAAAGGGAAAGGGAAAATATAGGTGAAATGTGAATGAAATATAGTTACATTCAATCTACCTTTTTCCTTTCTCTTTTCAAATCTCTACCCAAATCCATGATCCAAGCACAATTAGATTTAGAACTGCCTAACTCTTCCATTGCTACACTGACTAGTAATAAGTGATTCAAAGGGATAAAATTTGCATGTTTAAGTTTGCAGATTTGTAGCACTAACTATACTTCTGTACCTTTGATTTTCTAATTCAGGCTCCTGACGAAGAATTTGAAGAATATCTTAGGCATCTTATCAGTGACAAATGCACCGGGGATCGGAATGAGGTAGAATATTAAATTTTGTTGTTTTTGATACTTAATATATCTCACATGGGTTTTGAATAAGTAATCGTCTAATAATTTATCCCAAAAATAAAATAAAAAATAGTAATCATTTAATAATAAACAAGGAATATCTGTTTTTCTGGTAAATAGGATGAATTTAACTCTTAATTCATGGGACGCTCTTATATATATATATATATATTATAATTTTATGTATGTCGACTGAGCATTGTTAGCAGACCACTCCTGGTTGTTTAATCGTTTGATAACTAAGGTTAATTTTTTTAAAAACTGTGAGTTAGATTCAGTAGACTTCGATCTATCATATATAATATATATGTATATATATTTCTTCTGTCTTAAGGTGAAAAACCAAACCAAGTATTCTCTTTGGAGAGAATGGGACAGCTAGATCTACTTTCAATTTTATTGAAATAAGATGGGCATACATTAGTTGGAAGGAAAATAATACTTTAGATACACAAGTAACTGCTGAAACATTGCCTTCAATAGGGAAAACTACTTAACTTTCCCATATCCCTATATTTCCTAATATGCTATGGTTTTGAGTTATGCAGATGGCTCTCTTTCTCTTTCTTTCTGTATATATATATATGTTTTTCTAATTTGTCTCATTTCAGATGGCTCAGTTGCCCGAGGGTATCACTGAATTACTGCATCATGAAAAACTACCTGTGCCTTTGGTATGTTTTTTAGATCTGGCATGCGGTGATTATGCTTTTTGATTGCTAGGGTCTGCTATATGTTATTGCATCATTATTAATAAGCATCGATCAAATAGTAAATCATAATAAATCTCATGCTAAGAATTCTTTGGAACTACTTGATGAATTTAGCTCTATGCAAAAGGGCTCCATAAGCTTGATTATGAAGCTGTGGTGTACTTTTTCTCGAATTTTGTTATTGATTTAATCAATTTTGCTGTAAGTTTCAATTAGGCATTTCCTTAGGAGAAGCATTTGATTTGTTATAATGTTAAATATAGTAAAACAGGAAAATGGATTCTTAGGTGATGGTTCTGGTTATCAGCTATTGATGTGCATGCTACTCTTTATGAAGGAAGAAAGATTATCCTCTTCCTTTCAGTTTATTTAAGAAGCTTTATCAAGTAGTTCATTGCTATGAAGATTGTGAATTCAAATGTTAGGTTACCAATTAGGAGATTTAAAATCAGTTTCTTAATGCTGTTTTCATCTAAAATATAATATATCCTGCTGGGAAACCAGTTCGTTCTTATTTTTATTTTTAATTTTTGATGTTTGAAGTAGGAAACATCAAAAGGGAAAAAAATGAAGTACAAATTAAATTTCGAGTTGTGATATGTTAAGAGTATGGCTGTGTACCGATATTAGGCAATGCAAAAGTTACAACAATTTATAATCCATATTCATGAAGGGGCCCAATCTTTTGCTTTTGCTTGTCAATTTTTGAATGTAGTCTCTATTCATGGAACATACGGTATAATTTAGAGGGCTGAAAGCCCCTACCTTTTTCCTTTGGACCCCCACCTCTTCTATATTTTTTTTATTACAATTTAACCCTAACATCAATTTCCATTTTTGACCCATCTCTATCCTTCTAATCCTAACCCCAACCCCATCTCCATGTCCACCTCCATTCCACTCTGGCCGACAGCCTCATCTGGCAGCCATCCCAGTGCCTCCTCACCGGCAACCACCCTCTCCACACTTCTCGTTGGCGGCCACCGTTTCCACCTCCCACCGCCGCCACCAACCCCTCTTTCTCTATTCCCCTTCAACTCCTAAACCTTATCTACAACCCTTAGCCACAACCTCCTTTCCCACCTTCAACTACCATTGCCGCTGTCGTCAACCTCTTTTGATTCCAACCTAGATCTCTCTCTCGCAATCTCTGACCCAGATGCGCCACCCCACACCACTTCACAGCCTTCGCGAACCCTGATGCGCTCTTCTTTGCCCTTGTCGTCGATGGCTTTGAGTATGGAACTGGCAATGTTGGACGGGGTCAATGTAGGGTTGTGAATCCACCGATTCAACTATGTTCTCTTCCCATCTACATCTTTAGAAGTAGAAGAAGAACGAGGATAAAGAGAAGAGGTGGCTGTGGTGGCGGGAGAGGAGCTGGGGTTGGTGGCGGTGCGCTGCGACGGAGGGTGTAGCCAAAGTTGGTGGGGATGGGATTAGGGTTAGGGTTTGAGTTTGAATTTGGGGTTAGAGATATAGTTTGTATTAAGGCGGGGGTTCAAAGAGAAAATGGAGGGGTTTCATTTTGTTGGATGGGGGTTCAAAGAAGTGGGGGGGCCAAAGTAAAATGGTGGGGGCAAATAGCAGCCCTCATAATTTAAGACGTCAAATATGGAATGCCTTAAAACTCACATTAGCATTTCATCACAGAAATATGGATTTCAACATATTACTTATAAAAAAGCAAAACGAAAAAAAAGGCTTTCAATATATGAAAGCAAGAAGAATGTTTGCATAGCTAGGAGCAAGACTAAAGTGAGTGAAATTTAGTTAAAAATGAAGGAGAATAGATCCTATTGGCTGAAAGCTATCTTTGACATGTATATTACCAATGCTGTCCTCAACTGTGTCCTAAATATTTGTTACTAACAGTAACTGCCTGCCCTTCCTGTCTCTACTTTACTGTATAAATCTTATAATTTTAGACTGTTATGCTGCATTTTGCTGATTAGTCCTGTTGTACCTCTCTAGATTGTGATTCCATTGTTATTGGTCTATGTTTTTATTTATTTTCCCTGACAAAATCCTTTGAATTACTGACGTCAAATGGGTGTTTCTTGTTGTAGATCAAGTGTCTAAATGTAATCATCCTTACTGCAACGAATGTTACCGAGCTGGACGGGCAGTGGGATTGTCTGATTGAATTAACAAGTTCTAGTGGCCTTCTAGCATTGGCGGAACCATTTGTATCTAAGCGCTTGAGAACCACTCAGTCAGATGTACGTGCCAAGTTTACTATTCTGTACTTTGTTATTTTTTTTTTCAGTTTCCATGATTTTGTTATTGTATGGTAGTCTCTGCTAGAAAAGAAGATTTTTTGTTTTTCCTTTGTGTTTGCCACTTGATTTCTGCCCATCCTTGAATTTCCCTTCATTATACGCACAATAATTTTCCCTTTTCTTGTTATGTGTTGTTTGGGTTTTACACAACTGGCAGGAAAATGAAATATAAATAACAAAAGGATAAATTTCCCTCCATTTCACTGTCGGTTAGTCTGTACAAAAACTGAACATAGAAATGCAAAAGGGGGCAAAAGATGGTTCAATCAAGAGCCTGGTTATAAATAAGGAAAGATAATAGAGCATTACTTAATAAAACAAATAGCAAGAGCAATATTTTTGCTCAATTTAGAAATTGAGGAAAAATAGAAGAAAGCTGAAGGAGGACATAGGTTGAGATTGTACAAAAGGAGGTGATTGTCTTAGACTAATTGAGGACATGGCTTTTAATAGGAACTAACCGGAGAAAACAGTTCAACCCCAAGTAATTGGGATGGAGGCCTGTTAAGTTGAGTCAATTTGAGATTGAAAAATAAATTGTGTTGCTTATTGTCATGAAAAGGATAATAATATTGAGAAGATTTTTATGTGGTTTTTGTTAGGAGTGAGGCTTTGACATTGCTTTAATAGCCCTCCTCAAGAATTTTTTCCTCACCAGCTCAAAGAATTTTGTGGATGAATTCTAAGTCCGATTTAATATTTATATTTCACTTATTTTATTTTATGTTATTTTTGATTTTTTGGTGGCATGTTTCCCCTTATGCTCTAGTTTATACATGCATGGGTACTCTCACACTTAGGTCCATGAGAGTACTTAACTCAATATTTGGGAATTGCAAGCTAGCAGGAAGTGTTGACATTGTTGAACTGTTAGATCATTATTCTTTGAGCCAACTTGGCTGGTAATCATTGTCTTCTTGTGCCGTTCAAATTCATTTCAACAGTTTTTCTGGTATATCCATCTACTTCTTCCTTTGTACTCTGTGAATCGGGGTAGGTAGAACTTATCAATGAGGAAACAGGTAAACATTGCATTCGTATGGGAATGGAGTGGTCAATATTGCATATGTTGAAAGTTTTGGTGAAATTGTTGCTAGGCTTGGTTTGTGTGAGTAATGCTTAATCAAATAGTTGTGCAATAGCTTTTGTTTGTGGTGTCATTGATTCTTTGTGTGTTCTACCTAATACAGGTAGAAACTGCTCAACCTCTATCAAAACTGTGTCTTGAATTCCCAGATCTTTACATAGGTGAGCGTCTTTAGTTTTAACTGTGATTGGGAACTAATATAACCATTTCTTTCTCTTCTAATTGTGTTATTTTCTTTGAAACATCAAGGTTGCTATCGTGAATCCAGAACTGGTCCCCTTGTTATTAGTTTTGAAGGCAAGGTACGGGGATAATTGCACGATGATGTCAATTAGTTCAAAATATATTTAATCCTTAACAATATGTTATTTCGAATGATAAAGACCTTCTTCCCATAATTGGCTGCAGGATCAATCAAGAGTAGAAGCAGCTGCGGAAGCACATTGCAAGAAGTTTCATCCTGGGGCTTTCTATGAAATCAATTGACTTGAGGGGGGTGAAACTGCTCGTCTTTGAACCATAGCCTGCTTGGGCATTGACTGAGCTTTGTCATAGCTGCGTCAGGCAGCCTTTCTATCGGGGGATTCAGATGGTTGGTGGGTGGGTGGCATTGGAATTACAGCGGGGGGAAAGGTTTATTTTATTTTATTTTAAAATTTTAAAATAGAACAATTTCGGAACTTGTAAAGACCTTGATTTAATTTTTCGGAAGGTAATTGTTAAGCATTGTTGTCAGGCTAGTAACAAGCGCACAAGACAATGTATAAGTTGTTGGGCAAAGGAAAGAAATGTTGTTGCTGATCCATTGAAACTTTCAGTGCCTTTTTCGCATTCGGTTAATCTGAAAAAACTATATATAAAAATTAAAAAAAAACTCAAGTCTTGGTGATGCGATAGATATTATAGTTTCTTGTTTTTATATATCTATCTGATTGTAAGGATGAGAATTGAGTCACAAACCTCATCTTTTAAGGGTTGTTTGGGGTATTCTATGTAAAATAAACTGATGTATATTATTGATATATATATTACAAGATTGTTGTTGTATTACAAGATTGATATTGATCTTGATGTGTTATATTACAAATCAGAGTGGCATTATATAGGAGAGGGTTTGGGTAGTAGGTGTAGTGTAGTGGAGGTGGTAGGTGAAGTGGGTGCTAGTGGAGATGGTAGGTGGAGGAGTAAATTGGTAAATTCTAACATTCTAAATAAGTGTATTTTTTATCTTTTTAGACTAAAAAGTTGAGGAAAAAAATATAGATGTTTGGGTTAATTTTTTAACTTTTTATGGAAAAATGTGTATTAAAAAATTGTATAAAGAAGTGTGCAGAGAAAGTTGGAGAGATGTGAGCCATAGCCGTACAATCTTCACAAGTGGAATGGTAGTAATAAATTATTGGTTACTTTTCAGGCATTGCACTGGACAGTTTTGTTCGGCCTGTGGGGGTCATCACGGGTCCCATTTTGATAATCTGAATCGTTCAATGTGTAGAACTTGTCGAGCACTATATATTTATGAAAAATCACGTTGATCGAATATCGATAGCTATCTGATCAGATTTGTTTTTTTTCAATCGTTAATTATAACACCATTCATTTGTTGTACATAACTGATTTGATCATGCAGTTATCGATATCCGATCAATGTGATTTTTTACAGACATATAGTAGTCGACGAGTTCTACACATTGAACGGTTCAGATTATCAAAATGGGACCCGTGATGGCCCCTACGGGCGGAACATCAACCATCTAAAATTACACCCAATCATTTCATTTTTGTCAACAAACACAGCTTACACCCAATCATTTCATTTTTGTCAACAAACGCAGCACAGCAGCTGCACAAAACTCAAACCAAAGTTGTACTTTTGTTTAGAAAATTGATTATAAATTTTTTTTTGGTAAATATTGATAATTTTTTAACTTTTTGACTTTTTATCTTTTTTAAGTTATGCTAAACCAGCCCTTAATGTGTGAAGTCAGCCAAACAACTTAAAAGACAACCAAACATAGGAATGGCAACGGGGCGGGGCGGGGCCGGGGATCACACTCCCCGTCCCCCGATCCCCGATGGTGAAAATCTCCCCGTCCCCGGCCCCGATCCCCGACGGGGACCCTATCATCGTCCTCGCCCTCACCCCCTAACGGGGATCGGGTTTCCCCGACCCCGCAAATTCCCCGGCAAAAAAAAAAAGTCAATTTCATCTCCTCATCATCAACATCAACAAAAAAATTCAAGAGTTCAGAAAATTTTAAATAAAAAATTATATGTACATATATTACGTTTAAAATCAGAACAAAATTTAGAACTAAAAAATTTCATCCCAACTGTTGCTCATCATCATCATCATAGATCTGTAGAACATTTAAAATCAGAACAAAAAAAATTATATTTCAACATTAAAAAATATGTTTCATCAACAATCTTCCTCAACATCAACATTAACAACAACCAGTGTGTATATATATATATATATATTACGTTGATTGGAGAGGAGAGGAGAGCCGAGCAACTCAGATCTGACGGTGGTGTGATCATCGCGGAGAGCCAAGCCATGACGATGGTGCGATCATCGCGGTGCTTAGATCTGGGGTAGAGTTGCTGCTCAGATCTGGGGAGGCAAAACTCTTCAAACCAGTAGCGGTGAGGGATGGAGGGAGGATCGGCGCCGTCAAACTAGGGAGGATCGGCGCGAGGGAGGGAGGGAGGATTGGGAGAGAGAGGAGGCGAAACCCTAGATAGAGAGAGAGAGAGAGAGTGGCTGCCATACTCACATGCAACACACGCATATGTTATATATAAGCAGGGGCAAAGTAGTAAATTCACATTGGGGCAATCGGGCCGAGGATCGGGGCCGGGGTCGGGCTGGGTCTGGGACTGAAACATGTATCCCCGTCCCCGGCCCGATTATCACCGGGGATTTAATTTTTAATACCATCCCCGGCCCGTCGGGGGTATTTTTCGAGGAATAACCGCTCAATTCGGGGTCGGGGGATCGGGTCCCCGTCGGGCCGGGTTCCGATTGCCATCTCTAACCAAACAAAATGAAATTGACCCATGGTCTAGGAAGTGACGCCCAACAAATATGACTTACTAACAAGTAAAAATAAATGTTAAACAAACAACACTAAAATAAAACATTTTTATACACTCTTACAAATGAAAACCCAACAATTAGAAGGGCAATTTTAGTTAAAGGACATACTTGTAGGTCCTAATAAGTCGATTTTATTCTCTAATAAGTCATGTGAGAGTTAATGACATTTTTCATCAAATATTATTAAAAAAGTCACTAATTATTAATTTTTAACGACAATTTAAAAATTGTCACAAAAATGTCACTAACTAGTATAAGTTTTAGTGCATGCCAAGAAAAAAAAAAGTATAAGTTTTAGTGACAATTTAAAAAAATCGTCACAAATTAACCTTCAACGACAGTTTAAAAAATTCGTCATAGAAAAATATCACTAATTGTAGGTTTTAGCGATAATTTATAAAAAATGTGATAAAAAAGAAGTCATTGATTGTCAAATTTTAACGACATATGTAAAAAAAAGTTACAAAAAATTATTTTTAACGACAATTTTATTAAAACTTATTTTCAATAAGACTTGATGGAAATTAAGTTTAACTATTAAGACTTATTAATAGTTTACCATTTTTTTTATTCATGATTAATTATCCTGATGGGTAGAGCTGACATTTTTTTTTTTAATCCTATTAAATTGGTGTTAAAAAAAAGAGAGAGTTAAACACCATGTGACAAGAGTTATCCAATACAATAGGACTGAGTTATCCAATACAATAGGACTGAATTATTATTATTGTTTTTTTAGATAGAATAGGACTGAATTATTGGAGTGACGATTTCATGTCACCATTAAAATGTGTAGCAACAAGTTAACATTATTGTAGACCATAAAAGTCATCCTTCCCTGCAACCTTCCAAATCCATATCCCATTTGCTAATGATAAAGCAAAAATAGATTTAAAAGAAGTTTAAAAAACACAAACCAATCACAAAATTAAATACAATCTGTTGATAGGAGATATATCTCATATTTATAATTAAAAAAATTCACAAAACCAAAACCATAATACACAGTTGGTTTTAGTTCCTCAAGTAACAAAAGCAAACGGTTTGTTTCAGTATTAAATTTTTGCTCAATCCCGATTGAATTGAACTACTTACACTCCTAATTGTATCTCTAAAATTTTAGAAAGAATTATACTGTGAATTTATTGAGAAATATCACTTAATTGCGTCACATGCTGACATTCTACTTACCTAATACAAACAAAATAAAAAAAGAAATGGAGGACAACTTTGCATATTATTATAATTTTTAATTCCTCCATTGATTGAAATATGCATGCACCAAAGCTGTATTTGCATACCCAAAATTGCCCTTCAAAAAAAAAATAAAAATAAAAATCTTTTAATCCAGATTTTTGTCAAGAATTAATTTGTGCGGTAAAAATTAAATTGGTGAAGTATAAGTCCATATATAAAATGAATTTGAATCATAAATTATTATTTCTAAATAAAATTTTAAATATAAATTTTGAATTTGTAATCCCTTTGAAAGAAAATTGAACAAGTAGGTCCACATTTCAAAACCCTTAAAATGACCTAAAACAAAAAAAAGAAAACAACAGTAAAACCCACTAGCCTGTTCATACTTGTCTTATTTATCATGGAATCCAGTAATAAATTAGTTGGTGTTGATTGTAGCAATGGTCATTAATTTTTGGGAAAATTGCAAATTCAGTATAGATTTTTTAAAAAAAGAAAAAAATTCAAATTAGGAATTTATATATAAAATGAATTTGAATCATAAATTGTTATTTCTAAATAAAATTTTAAATTTAAATTTTGAATTTGTAATCCCTTTGAAAGAAAATGAACAAGTAGGTCCACATTTCAAAACCCTTAAAATGACCTAAAACAACAAAAAAGAAAACAATAGTAAAACCCACTAGCCTGTTCATATTTGTCTTATTTATCATGGAATCAAGTAATAAATTAATTGGTGTTGATTGTTGATTGTAGCAATGGTCATTAATTTTTGGGAAAATTGCAAATTCAGTATAGGTTTTAAAAAAAAAAAAAAAGAAAAAAGAAAAAAAATTCAAATTAGTGATAAATCTTTTCAACTTCAATAATTAAAATTATAAAATTTTCCATAAATTTATAAATATTTTGTGAAATCTCAACTGAATTGCAATTTTTTACTTAATTTTTTTTTGTCTCTTTTATTTGTTTTCTTCATGTTTCTTTTGTCCCTTTGTCTTCTTGTCTTTCCTATCGTTTCAATTTGTAAACAATAGCATATATATATGAGCATCATCCCTTTCTATTTTAATTGACGTTTGATAATTTAATTTAATATTTAAAATTAAATGTATTAAATAAAAATTAATTAAATTTGTTTGATAATTATAGTTTAATATTACATAAAAATTTAAGTAACTTTAAAAATATAAGTTAAAAGTTAAAAAAATTTAAGCAATTAAATTTATAATTACTTATGTATAAGTATTAACGTGCACTATTATTACTTTATTACTGTTGCCATCATCATCACCATAACCCTCACGACTGCCACTACCATTGCCACTGCCACTGTCTCGATTGTCGTCATCACCATAGATATCAACTATCATTTTACTACTACTACTACCACTACTGTGGTCATTGCTGCCATTACTATCACTTCACTACCACTATTACAGGTACTATAATCTTCCATCTCCACCACTATCCCTACCTCTATTATATTTAGCACCATCATCATTACACCACCACGCTCCTCCACCATCACCACAACAACTATTGCTCCACCTCAACCACCATCACCATTGATAACATAGTCACCACAGATGCCGT